TACTGATGCTGTGTCCCCTCTGCTGGAATCTGCTGGAGTCGCTGCACCATCCTGCTGGAAGATCCTGCAGTTCATACTGCACTTGTGCTAAATTTTGTAGTTGATGGTGTCTTTTGATGTCATCTGCTGCGTTCTTTCTTGGATTCTGCGTCTGCTAGACTCTGCCGTTGCTGTAAGTGTTGCTCCCATATGCTCGAATCTGCTGCCGCAACCTGGGTCGTGCTGATGAAATCTGCTGGCTCTGATGTTGCACTCCTCTGCTAAGAATCTGCTGTTGCCTATTTGGAACCAATTTGTTAGACACTGTTGCTGCTGCTGGGACGCTGTGTGCTGTAATCTGATGCAGCTGACTTTATTTTGCTGGAACCTGCTGGAATTTGGGATGGCTGCATTCGCTTGGTCACATCTGCTGCAATTGCTAGTGTTGCACCTGTAGAAATAGAACAGGTGCAACCACTAATCTAGTGGCATACCTCTGAAGTTTTTCCAGCTTCGTTCTGTGCTTGACAAGGTCCGGGCTCCATGCTGGGACCGCATACTCCATGATTAGTCTTACACATGTGGTATACAAGGTTCTGAAGGAATCCTTATACAGGTTTCTGAAGGCAGTTCTGATGTTAGCCACCCTTGCATACGCCGTTGTGTGTGTGTGTGTGCGTGTGCGTGTGCGTGCGTGCGTGCGTGCGTGCGTGCGTGTGTATGTGTATAAGAGCAAGCTAGAGTCCCGAGCAACCCATGAACGGGCTGCGGTTACACAAGTAATTACTGACGACTCTCAAAAACAGCTTCGTAAAAAAACACTCTTGCCTTGTGTGGCTCTGCCAAAGACTGAAAGGGCTCAGGAGAAAGACTGAGAGGGGAAGGAGGAGATGGGGGAGGACGAGGAAGAGGGGGTGGGTGTGTGGGGGGGGTCAATGGAGGATAGGAAGAGAGGGGGGAAGGGGGAGGAGGAGGAGAAGGAGAGGGAAAAACATCCGCTGGCAGGCTTTGGTTTCTAATTCATAAAGCCCTAAGATGCGAAATGGAAATTAATCTTAATTTTTTTGGAGCGGCGCCTTTGAGAGCTGAGAATAGCGACTAAGAACGACTATAACGACTGACTCGTACGCAAGATTTCCCAGGGTGATAAACATTGCCTGAATGGAGATTTTTGATTCACCGGATAAAGAAATTTCAACATGATTAATCTCCATCATATGCACATCAAAGGGGCAAGTGGAATTAAAGTTGCATAGGTTGAATTGAATCAAAAGACGACTATTCATTTTATTTTTAGTTAAACACGTTCGAGAAGCAATTGAGTTTTTATTATTTTTTTATTATTTGTAGTCCGCGGGTGTAGCCCATGTAAGCACCAATGATTTAAATGTGAATATGAAATTCTGAAAAGCAGGAGAAGGCCCACTGATGCAGGCGAGCGATAATGGCTCTGGTTATAATTGAATAATGAGCTAAGATACATTCATATGGTAATATGTGGCACCTCTACGCTGAAGGTTGCCAGTGTGGGGGTTTATGTGAGTGGTGGTGTGGTGGTAGGTGTGGTGGTGTGGTGTAGTGGTGCGGTGGTGTGGTGGTGTGGTGGTGGTGGGTGTGGTGTGGTGTTGTGGTGTGGTGGTGGTGGTGTGGTGGTGGGTGTGGTGGTGTGTGGTGTTGTGGTGGTCTGATGAAGGTATCCCTGACATGAGGGATTATTATTATTATTGTTATTATTATTTTTATTATTATTTTCGTGATTATTACAGGTACAGAAACGTGTCATTATAAGAATGATTTGATTATTGTCAGCAAAACCTTCAGGAGCAATACATCTGTGAAACCTAATATACAAATGAATGTAATAAATGCTGAGGTAACCATCGACCACCTATAATCTGAGTCACAGACGCTACTGGTGCTGACGTAACCTTTGACCACCTATAATCTGAGTCACAGACGCTACTGGTGCTGACGTAACCTTTGACCACCTATAATCTGAGTCACAGACGCTACTGGTGCTGACGTAACCTTTGACCACCTATAATCTGAGTCACAGACGCTACTGGTGCTGACGTAATCATTGACCACCTATAATCTGAGTCACAGATGATGCTGCTGGTGCTGACGAGGTTTGGAGATCGCTGGAGACTATTGGCGCAGCTTCCGGGAAGCATTTTGAAGCCTGCGAATGATTGCGACCGCCGGCGAGGCTTCACCTCTCATCAATGACAAGAGAAAATCGCGTAGTCCGCTCGTAAAAGCGACCGTCCTGGATATATTTGTGGTATGCTAATATGCTGTGGTTGAGACCGACCTCTAATTTCTCCGTCTGTTCTGACTTTATTCTTGTTTGTCGCTGTGTTAATAGAGCCGCCCCTTCTTGGAGGCACGGGTGGCGGTGGGCGGCGGGTGGTGATGGTGGGTGGTAGTGGTGGGTGGTAGTGGTGGGTGGTGGGTGGTGATAGGAGGCTGTCAGGGGAAAGAATAATTTCCAATTACAGTTATAAAAATTATTTCACTTCCAGTTAATTAACTGACCGTTTAAGCTTAGCTTCAGTAAGCAATTAACTCATACGAAAAGAAAGCAAATTTGTACGAAGTTGTATTCTCGGGAGAATGAGTGGTCACCCGGCCTTTGTTCCCAGCCACAAGAGGAGAGGGAGATGGGGAGAGTCTCTTCCTGAGCGTCAGGCGGAGAGCATCTAATCCTAAGCGACAGGGGGAGAGAGAAAGAGCTGACGAGCATCTGTTTCTGAGCATCTTGAAAGGTGAAGAGCATTTGTTCCAGAGCGGCAGGAGGAGAATGACGAGATACGAAGAGCATCTGTTCCCGAGCGTCAGAAGGAGAGCGGGAGAGGTGAAGAGCATCTGCTCCTGGGCGTCAGGAGTAGAGGGAAAGTGTGTGTGTGTGTGTGTGTGTGTGTGCATTCTTCAGCAAACAAGAGACGAGGAGCACTCGTTCCTGCGCGACAAGAGGCGATGGAGCACCCTTTCCAGAGCGAGAGGAGGCGAAGGAGAAGAGTGCAGCATCCGTCACCATTACCACCACCTGCCTCTCTGTGTAATAAACCACTGGATCATCATTACCTTCCTCATCTTTTATTCATGGGTGACGAGTCTCCTCCTCACCTGGGGGGGGGGGGTGCGGGTGAAGGGGGGTTTAAGGTCGTTTACATGTGCCAATTACACCCGGCCCATTATGTCAACCCAGCCAATGGGGACGGTCATCGATAAATCTTAACTCCATCTCCTCTTCACGAAAACAAAACAGAGAAGTAATTCGGATAAAACGGAACAGCCTCTCCGGTTAATCAGCGCCTGTTAACCAGTAAATAGTTACTTATAAATTACTCTTGTGCTGTATACGTGTGCTCCGGATAATTATAAGAAGTGCCAACTACGTGGATGTGTGTGTGTGTGTGTTCGCTATACATATGGTCAGCTAAAGCGGACTTCACTAAGCTGGGGTTTTAAACCAGGACCAGCAGGAGAAATGTGACGTCATGGTGACGTCACACACCTTGTATACACCTCGTGTATGTGTATATATATGTGTATATATATATATATATATATATATATATATATATATATATATATATATATATATATATATATATATATATATATATATATATATATATAAGGCTCCTTCTGAAGATGTATTAATATACGAAAGTACTTAAGGAAATTCCTGTTTCAATTTTCCTCCGTGGTCTGACACTGTCACATTTTTAATCACGTGTTTATTTTCGTGATTTACACACATATATATATAAAACTCATTTCTATCTCATATTTAGGTTAGTTTAGGTAAAATTTGGCTCCGTTACGTTAGGTTGGGCCTCGTTGGGTTGGTTTAGGTTAGGTTGGGTTAGTTTAGGTTAGATTAGGTTGGGTTTACTTAGAAAGTGGAAAATGATCCAGGGACAGAAACGTTGTCACCTCCTCTATTTACTGATGTGTGAGTACAGGGGGGGGGAGGGGGGGCGGTAGCGATGACGGAAAGGGAGTGCATAATGTGCAAAGCTTTTAGATCCCACTCCTCCTTCACTGAGGGCCACCAGGCTACATTCAGGAAGGCATTATCAAACAAAAGTGTCAAGCTATTACGACTATATAGCACTTGGAAGGGATCAGGATAAGGATCGGAGGGAAAGAATGGTGCCCAACCACTTGGACGGTCGGGGATTGAACGCCGACCTGCATGAAGCGAGACCGTCGTCGCTCTACCGTCCAGCCTAAGTGGTTGGCCGCAACATTCAGGAGGATAGACATATATATAGCCTTAACCTGTACTATTCAGGAAGATAGACATTATATATATAGCCTTAACCTGTACTATTCAGGAGGATAGACATATATATATATATAGCCTTAACCTGTACTATTCAGGAGGATAGACATGTACAGCCTTAAGCTGCACTATCCTTTTTAAGATATATAACTTATTGTCTCAGTAAAGGTACTTGAACTTGAACCAGACAATAACGAGGCTGTTTGGTCCCGCCCACCACCAATGGCTCCCAGGCAGCACCGGAAGCAGTTCAGTTGATGTTTTTTTTTAGTGTATTTTTTTTCTTCTTGGGTTTATAGATGGAACTGCGTCGTTTGAACGCCACACACTTGAGCGTTTAGAAGCGTAATAAGAGGCGCGTTTAGTCGGCATTCCCCCCCCCCCCAGAGAGGGGGGGGCGAGGGTAGTGAGGGGGGGAAGGGGCTTCAGAAGGGGGTGGAGGGGGCGTGGGGGGGGGGGGGAATTCCGAGCGCGGTAATACAACGGTGAGGAAGATGCGCTGCGCAGTTGGGTCCAGATTCACGAAGCAGTTACGCAAGCACTTACGAACCTGTATTAGTCAACAGTTGAATCGTTAAGTAACAAGACCCATAGTTTGGCAATAAGGGAGGAACCTAAAAATGAAGCTAAATAGCACAACAGATAGTTCATTGACCGGTAAGATAGCTCATTAATCAGTAAAGAAGTTAATTAAAGCAGTAAGTAATCATATTTACGAACCACA